TAACCCTGTGCTGTCCCTGTCCCTGGGAGTGTTTGATGGGGACAGTGTTGAGGGAGCTTTACTCTGTATCTAACACCGTGCTGTCCCTGTCCTGGGAGTGTTTGATGGGGACAGTGTTGAGGGAGCTTTACTCTGTATCTAACCCCGTGCTGTCCCTGTCCTGGGAGTGTTTGATGGAGGGACAGCGTTGAGGGAGCCTTACTCTGTATTGAACCCCGTGCTGTCCCTGTCCTGGGAGTGTTTGATGGGGACAGTGCAGAGGGAGCCTTACTCTGTATCGAACCCCGTGCTGTCCCTGTCCTGGGAGTGTTTGATGGGGTACTGTGGTGGAATATGAGTGATAAAGGCAGACTGCTTGGTCAGTGTTTTGTTTAACTGGGTTACTTTCTGCCAGAAATAACAACAGCAATGCAGAATTATACTTCACCTGGCAAATAATAAAGTGTCACAGTTCATTTCACAGGAGATTTGTAAAACCCAGTGTGACACAGGGCCACCTGAGAGGCTATTTGGCCAGAGAATTAACATCCTGACCAGAGCGGTCAATGTGAAGGAATGTTTTTTGAGGAGGAGACGTGCAGAGGTTTGGAGAGGCAAGCACAGAGCATAGTCCCCAGCAGCTTGAGGTCCTTCAAACAAGAAAAGGGATTGTTTCTCTCAGAGGAGAGTGAACCTGTGGAATTCTTTCCCTCAGAATGTTGTCGAGGCTGGGTCATTAAGTACATTCAAGGCTGACGTAGATAGATTTTTAATCAAGGATTATGGGGAAATTGGAGTTGATCAGATCAGCCATGATCTCATTGAATGGTGGAGCAGATTTGATGGGCTGAATGGCCTACTTCTGCTCCTACATCTTGTGATGTAGTCACCAATGGTGGAGTGATTAAAATCGGGCCTGGTGAGGAGGCCGGGAATGGAAGGGTGTAGAGATGTGCAGAGAGGCTTTACTCTGTATCTAATCCTGTGCTGTTGGGAGAGAGAGAGAGAGACCGGGAGGGGCGTGTCGGTGCGATGGGTGGGTATTTTCAAACTGTCTGAAGGGGAGTCATTGTGGGGGGTGAGCCAGCACGTAGGCTGGACAGAGCTCGGGGTGAATCACAACACCACTTCAAAATGGCGACTCACCGGAGATAGCACGTCACCATCGTAGCGACGGACTGGAGTCGGCTTTCTCCGGTACACAGGCTCCTGATATTTCTTGTGGTGCTTCTTCCTCTTCCTCTTGTTCTCCTTCTGTCGTATTCTCATTAGCTGCACCCGTCGCTGCCTCCTGCTGATAAACACTAGGATGGGGGGGTGACACACACATACACATGAGGGTCAGTCAAACTCAGGTTCAGGCATCTCACTGAGGCCATGTCACCCTGACACACACACACACACACACACCCACCCCAACTTCCCCCTTTCCCTTCTCCCTCCCTCCACGTCCCTGTACAAATGATAACGACAGGCACGGTTGGAAGTTTCCGGAACGTTTCATTCTTTTATCGATTGGAAGCCATTGGGACTTCTTTCCCTTCCTTCTTTCAGAAGACATGGATGTCACTGACAACGCTGGGATTTTTTTGCCTGTACCTGATAGATTCATTAATTAAGAGCCAGTCATGGGCTCTCAGCTCCTCAGGCCTACTTCCCCATTCAGTAAAATTGTGGCTGATCATAGAATTGTACAGTACAGGAGGCCATTCAGCCTTTCATGTCTGTTCAGGATCCTTAAAGAGCTACTTAGCCAGTCCCAATCTCCGGCCCAATCGCCACAGCTCTCTAATTTTATCCCTCGCAAATATATATCCTGCTCCCTTTTCAAACCTCCTGTGGAATCCGCCTCCCCCATTCTCCCAGGCAGTGCATTCCCAATCCTAATAACTCTCTGAGTAAAGAAGTTCCATCTTTCATCTTTCCTTCTCTCACTCCAGAACTGGTTGGAACGGTCGCTGGGACCCAAAACGTTAACTCTGCTTTCTCTCCACAGACGACCTGCTGCGTTTTTCCAGAAATCTCTGACAATCCTCAGCTCCACTTTCCTGCCTTTTCCCCATAACCCTTGATTCCCTTCCTGGTGAAAAATCTATCTCAGCCTTGAATATACTTACTGACCCAGTCTCGACAGCCCTTCTGTGGTAACCGAATTCCACAGATTCAGTCCCCTCCGAGAGAAGAAATTCCTCCTCATCTCTGTCATAAATGGGTGACTCCCTTATTCAGAGATGATGCTGTCTGGTCCTAGACTCTCCCATAAGGGGAAACAACTTTTCCACATCTACCCCACAAGTCCCCTAAGAATCTTGGTGTTTCAATAAGGCCTCCTCTCATTCTTCTAAACTCCAATGAGTACAGGCCCAATCTACTCAACCTCTCCTCATAAATCAGTCCCTCCTTACCCAGGATCAGCCAAGTGAACCTTCCCTGGACTGTCTCCAATGCCAATCTATCTTTTCTTAGATAAGGGGCTCAAAACACTTCACAGTATTACAGCTGAGGTCTGACCAATGCCTTTTGTACTTTTATAATATTCTAACACTCCATTTCCTTTGAAATAAAGGCCAACATTTCATTTGTCTTCCCTGTTACCCACTGAACTTGGATACTGGCTTTTTGTGATTCATGCACAGTACTCCCGAAATCCCTCTGTACTGTAGCTTTCGGCAGTCTTTCAGCAATTAAATAATGTTCAGTTCCTCTATCACGGTATCCTTTTCAAAACTCAACATTCCCTGCTATCAGCATCCCAGTTTCCTCAAGGTTTAGCTTCACCAGCCTCTGTAGGCCCGTTGCTCCCGGTGGTGGGGCCTACCTTCTGTGTGAGAGTAGCCTTCCGCTGTGACTTTGAACTGCACCAGGACACCGAGAAAGGTCAGCACTGGCCAGACGCCTAAGATGACCCAGCTGTACCAGCACACAGGCTGCACTGGAGCCACTTTCATCCTCTCGTAGATGTACTGCACGAGCAGGAAGAGCTCAATGAAGTAATCCACCGTCACGGTGATGACAGCGCTCCCGAAGACGGAGGTGGACAGCACGGTGAAGAAGCGCTGCCACTGCAGGGTCAGCACCGCAAAGAACATTCCGGCACCCAGCAGCAGGCCGATGGGGACCCAGACGGTGCGGGGGTGGTAGAACTGCTCCAGCACCACCAGCGTTGCCACGGCGACCAGCAGGCCCAGCAGCAGGCCCACCATGAAGAGGCCGACGCTCCGCACCAGCATGGTGACCAGGCCGCAGAGGATGCCAATACCCAGGCCAATGCCCACGCTGACCTCCATACTCAGCTGCGTGTCCAGCACCCTCTCCTTGTAGCACAGCATGAAGATGACGATGGAGCCGAACATCAGGCCGGTGAGGAACATGATGGCTTTGAAGCAACGGTAGCCTAAAACACAAGGAGCGAGAACAACAGTTAGGAAAATCTCTCCGCTGTAAGAAGGTGCAAAGATCCCAGCTACTAAACATGTACAACTGAACAAGGGCGTAAGAACATAAGATCGAGGAGTAACTGTAGGCCATTCAGCCCCTCTAGCCTGCTCAGCCATTTAATAATATCATAGCTGATCTCATACAACAAAAACATAAGTTGCTGGAAAAGCTCAGCAGGTCTGGCAGCATCTGTGAAGAAAAAAATCAGGCTTAACGTTTTGGGTATGGTGACCCTTCCTCAGAACTCATCTCAGAGCTGATCTCATCTCAGCCTCAACTCCACTTTCCTGTCCACTCTCCACAACCCTTCAACCCATTACTAAATAAAAATCTGTCTGTCTCCTCCTTAAGTTTACTCAATGTCCCAGCATCCAGCGCACTCTGGGAGAGTGAATTCCATAGATTCACAACACTTCGAGAGAAGTGATTTCTCCTTATTTCTGTTTGAAATCTGTTACCCTTTAGCCTAAAACTATGATCTCTCGTTCTAGATTGTCCCACATGAAGAAACATAGAACATAGAACAGTATAGCACAGTACAGGCCCTTCGGCCCACAATGTTGAGCCGAACTTTTACCCTAAACCTAAGGTCTATCTAACCTCCACCCCTACTTGTACTATCATCCATATGCCTATCTAATAGCTGCTTAAATGCCCCTAATGAGGCCGACTCCACTACCCTCTCCAGCAATGCATTCCATGCCCCTACCACTCTCTGAGTAAAGAACCTACCTCTGATGTCTCCCCTGTATCTACCTCCACTCACTTTAAAACTATGCCCCCTCATAATAGCTACCTCCACCCTAGGAAAAAGTCTCTGGCTGTCCTCTCTACGTCAATATTGTCATCTCCCTTCAGCATCTTCTATACCTCAATTAGATCTCTTCTCATTCTTATAAACTCCTGAGAGTGCTGACCTAAACTGCTCAATCTCTCTCCATAAGACAAACTCCTCATCTCTGGAATTAATCTAGTGAACCTAAATGAAATCTGGCTTGAGAGATATTTTTCTTTATTTAATGTGGTATTCATTCTCACTGAAATATAGGATTCACTTTGAAACAGGAAGTTATTGCATAAAAGGAAAAATAAACAAAATGAGCTGTCAAAGTATGGCACACAGAAAAATTAAAATCTCAACTATTATGTAAAATTGTCACTTCACGGCATTTCAAATCCAGAGAAATTATCCCTTTATTTCAAAGGCCCAGGTTTGAATTAATTTCTTTTCCTAGTTCTGTTGCGTGAACTGGGAAGTCTTACATGAATTCCTCATGAATCTGAAAGCTCAGATTTTCTCAGTTTTTTTAAATAATCTGCTGATTTCTAATCAAACACTCCTGGTTTGGAATTTTCACAAGCTAAACCTTTACTCCAAAAGTGACTGGGCTTTCCCTGAACTGTCTTACATCCCTTTCTAGGTGAGGCATAATATTTACTTCCAACTTCAGTTAGGTCTCCTCCAAAATCGCCCTTAAAGCTTTCAGCCCCTTGGTTAGCTGAACCAAAATCAATTCTCGATTCTTCTGAACTGAAACCAAGGTAATGCCTTTAAATGTTTACTCCCCCTGTCCTCAACCCCATAGTATCCACAATCTTCCATTTACATTCCAGGTGCAGTCACCTATTAACTATATTAGGTCACTGTTCCACAAGGACTCTCTGACCTTTTTACCTCCCATCACAATAGCACGATGTTGACCCCGATCTCTATGATGTTGTTGACGTTGGTACCTTACTCACCTCAGAGTCAGACGACTGTAGGGTTCGATCCCTATTGTCACTGGCAAGGCCAGCATTTATCGCTCGTCCCTATTGGTCCAGGAACTGAATGTCTTGCTCAACCATTCCAGATGGCAGTTGAGACTAAACCTATGGGTCTGGAGTCTCATGTAGGTCAGACCAGGGAAGAATGGCAGATTTCCTTCCATGAAGGACATCAGTGAACTAGTTGGGTTTATATGACAATTGGCAGTAGTTACAGGATTATTATTAGACTAACATTTTACAATTCCAAATTGCTAATAAATTCATGTTTCCACCGTCCGCCATGGTGGGATTTGAACCCAATCTCCCACAACATGAGACACAGGAGCGGAGCTCAGCCCATTGAGTCTGCTCCGCCATTCAATCATGGCTGATAAGTTTCTCGACATTAGTCTGGGACTCTGGATTACTCACCCAGGGGCATTATCACTTGGCCACCACCTTCCCAGTGGGCACTCCCTGCACAGTCCAGGGGAGTGATACACTCTCAGAGATGCTGTTGTTCAGGTGAGACCTGCCTCCTCAGGTGGTTATAAAAGATCCCATGGCCATTAAATGAAGACCATCAGTATTTACCCCTCAGTTCTATGTACAGTATTGCGTACAGTTTAGCTCCCCTGACCTTAGGAAAGATATACTTGCCATGGGGGGAGTTCAACAAATCTTCACCAGATTATGGTGACACGGTGGCTCAGTGGTTAGCACTGCTGCCTCATAGCACCAGGGACCTGGTTCGATTCTATCCTCAGGTGACTGTCTGTGTGGAGTTTGCATGTTCTCCCTGTGTCTGCATGGGGTTTGCTCCGGTTTCCTCCCACACTCCAAAGATGTGCAGGTTAGGGTGGATAGGCCATGTTAAATTGCTCCTAGTGTCCAGGGATATCCAGGCTAGCCATGGGAAATGCAGGGTTATATGATAGGGGATTTGAGTCTGGGTGGGATGCTCTTTGGAGGGTCAGGGTGGACCCGATGGGCCTAATGGCCTGCTTCCACACTGTAAGGATTCTATGATTAATCCTTCGGATGGTAGGATTGTTTTATCAGAAGACATTCAGGAAACTGGCTCTGTATTCCCAAAATTTCCAAAGAATAAGGGGTGATCTGATTGGAACTTGTGAAGATTTTGCAAGCTGAGACAGGATAAATCTAGATAGGCTGCTTTCCCCTTGGCTGGTGAGTCTAGAACCAAGGGGCATAATCTCAGGGTAAAGGGCAGGCCATGTAGGGCTGAGATGAGGGGGAAATTCTTTATTTAGGGATATGTGGCAGTGTACTGGTAATGTCATGGGATTAGTAATCCAGAACCCCAAGCTAACATTCTGGAAATAATGGGTTTGAATCCCATCATGGCAGAATTCTGGAAATAAAAATCACTGTACCTAAAGGTTACCTTAATAATCACCATGCAACCACTTTCCATTGGTGTAAAAACCCATCTGGTTCACTCATACCGCTTTAGAGGAGGAACTCTGCCATCCTTACCTGGTCTGGCCTACGTGAGACCCACAGCAATGTATGGATGACCTTTAGCTTCCCTCTGGGTAATTAGGTATAGGCCATAGCCACATCCAATGAACAAATTTAAAACAAGAAGAGTTGAGAATCTTTGGAATTCTTTAACCCTGGTGGCTGTGGAGTATCAATCATTGAGTCTGGCTACAGCTTGATTCAATGGGCAGCGAAAGCCTTTAGCATGTCCTGAGATCACAAAAGGTGCTATAGCAATGCAAGTTTTCTGTCTTTCTGAATGATGGAATTCCATGTCATAACTTGCCCCCTTTTTCTTAAAGTTATTGCCTCGACAAGGATTTTCTGAAACATTGAGATGGGCCTTTTACTAAAATCCATCATCGTTTTCAACACATGGGATAGTGCATTTTGGTCCATCATGTGACCATAGAGACCGTGAAATAGAGCCTACATGATAGCCCAACATGGCAACCAGATGATACCAAGATCAAGGTGGTGGATCAAAGTGACATCTCATTGCCACTTCTCAATCGCAGTTATGGATGGGGACCAAAGGTTGACCCTTTGGTGATGCCCCTTCCCATTTCCTGCCAACCATTCAGCGGTCATTCCATCCACCAATGAGAAACATAAATTTGATAAACAACTATTTTCCCCAACCGCCAACGCCAAGACCCTCCCAACGGCTGTCCCAAGTGTCATTGACTTACCGAAAAAACAATAAATAATCCCAAAGAGGCAGCACATAGCGCAGACCACAGAAGGTACAATATCATACTTCCTTAGGATCTCTTGATCACAGCTATGGGTGGTACCCTGACCCGTGCCATGAGTCAAGAGTTTAAAGTGCAAAGTTCGAAGTGTCGAGGTCATGGCTTTGTGGGTCTGTAGCAACAGTCAGTCAGAGCAGAGGTCAAAGGACGTCTTCCATTCAAAGTCAGAGAGGCTGCAAAAACGGATGGAACGTGTCAAACAACGGAATTAACATAAGAACCAGGAGCAGGAGTAGGCCATTCAGCCCCTCGAGCCTGTTCTGCCATTTAATATGATCATAGCTCATCCCATCTTGGCCTCAACTCCACTTTCCTTCCTACTCTCCACAACCCTCCAACCCGTTATTAATTAAAAATCTCCTCATTATATTTATTCAGTGTCCTATTATCCACCGGACTCTGGGGTAGTGAGTCCCACAGATTCACAACCCTTTGAGAGAAGGATTGAGGGGTAACAGGGAGGGGTAGAGGGTAAATGACTGAGGAACAGGTGGAACATCTTCAAACCCTTCGGCCTCGTGTTGCTCCTTCAAACCCGGCCCGTTTAGCACCCCCCTGTTCTTACTGCTCCACCATTGATGGCCATGTCTCCAGCTGCCTTCAACACTCACTAAACTTTCCCTTATAACCTCCTTCCCTCTGTTCCTCAAAATCCCTCTCCTGGACCAAGCCTTTGGTCACCTATCGCAGTATCTCCTCATGCAACTCAATGTCAAATTTTATTTGAACGTGGCTGCAGTGAGGCATCTTTGGGTGATTTAGCACAATTGTGACGCTACTTCAGCACAGGTTCTCGTGTCTCTGCAGTGGATGATGTGCCACTGGACTCCATACTGAATCCATTCTTGGATTTTTGAGGATCTCCTGATTTTCTTCCCTCTCCCATGAGTGCCTGGGCCCCCAACCACTGTCCCAAAACCACTCCACCCCTAAACCTCGCCAACTCACTACGTGGCTTTCCACCTTGAAGACCCTCCAGTGTTTTGTTATCTACCCTAACATGTCATTAGGGCTAGTAGGAACTGCAGATGCTGGAAACTCTGAGATAACAAGGTGCAGGGCTGGATGAACACAGCAGGCCAAGCAGCATCATAGGAGCAGGAAGGCTGACGTTTCGGGCCTAGACCCTTCATCAGGAAAAGGACGATGAAGGGCCTAGGCCCCTTCCTGCTCCTTTGATGCTGCTTGGCCTGCTGTGTTCATCCAGCTCTACACCTTGTTATGTCATTAGGGCTCATTAGCAAATGTTGTTAGTCGGTTAAAGGTGCTAACAAAATGCAACAAAGATGGGTTTTTGCTAGAGTTGGTTACTGGGTTTCAGTGGCAGAGGATCAGAGCTTTAAGATAATGGTCAAAAAAGAGACAGGAGCAACATGAAGGAACATTGTTCTTACACCTTGTGGTGCTGTGATATGGAAGGTGCTGCCGACATTAAGGGTGTTTGAAACACGTACACTGCAGTCACGTTCCAAAAGGAAATAGATAAATACTTGAAAAGGAAAAAAAAAATCAGTCTGCAGGGTGATGATGAGTGGGATAGTTCTTTCAATGTGCCAGCATTGTTCTGATGGGCTGAACAGTCTCCTTCTGTACTGTACAATTCTATCATTGAGCTCCCTCAATGGGTTTGGCTTGCGGTGAGAACTCTCCTTCTGTCATGATTGTAACAAGGTCAGGCAGGTGGACCTCATAGAATATGAGTTCCCTGATTGGGGGCTGTTAAGCTGGTCCAATCAGGGAGCCCTGGCTGACAGATATAAACAGGAGTGTCAGAGGTTCTGCTCACTCTGAGAACTGGCTGGTCAGAGTCCATGTACTGTTCTTGCGTAAATAAAGAGTGACATGCTGATGGGATATTGGCCTCTGTGCAGTTAATTCACACTCTCCTCAAATTTCCAGCACAGCAAGAAGGGCATAGGTGTAAGGTGAGAGAGGGGAAAGATTTAAAAGGGACCTGAGGAGCAACTTTTTCACATCAAGGGTGGTGCATGTATGGAACGAGCTACCAGAGGAAGTGGCAGAGGTGGGTATAATTGCAACATTTAAAAGACATTGGGACAGGCACATGGAAAGGAAAGGTTTAGAAGGATATGGGTCAAACGCAGGCAAATGGGAGTAGTTCAGTTTAGAAAACCTGGTAGGCATGGATGAGTTGGGCCGAAGGGTCTGTTCCTGTGCTGTATGACTCTATGATGAAGGAGAGGGCACTTACCTGATTAGCGTTGGAGCTGGTTGACTCTCTTCCCCCTCTTACTGGCAGACAATGTCCACTGGTGGGGGTCAGCACTGAGGGGTTTCCAGGAGACGACCCAAGCCTCTGCTCACTCAGTTGTCTCATTTGAGGGACAGTGGTTCACACTGTACCAGCTCCTGGCTGTTGACTCGCTGAAGTGAAGATTAAAGGTCGTTGATCTCTTCGAGATGTTTCTAAAACAACGTCCCCTAGAAAACAAAATTTTAAAAAATAGGTTTCAGGAACCTGCAGTCTTCCATTTATTTCTCACACTTCTCCCACTAATGTTCCGTTTATAGCACACAGGGATTTGGGAGTCATGGTACATGATTCACAAAGACCTAGCATCAACTTCAGCAGTTGATTTCTTTTTATTCAATATGGGATGTGGGCATCGCTGGCTGGGCCCAGCATTTATTACCCATCACTAGTTGCCCCCTTGAGAAGGTGGGGGTGAACTGCCTTCTTGAACCGCTGCAGTCCTCCTGCTGTGGATTGACCCACAACTCCCTTGGGGTGCGAATTCCAGGATTTTGACCCAGTGACACTAAAGAAATGGTGAGTGTCTTGGAGGGGAACTTGAAGGTGGTAAAAACCGAAAGAACTGCAGATGCTGTAAATCAGGAGCAAAAACAGAAGTTGCTGGAAAAGCTCAGCAGGTCTGGCAGCATCTGTGAAGGAAAAAACAGAGTTAACGTTTCAGGTCTGGATCTCAGTTCTGAGGAAGGGTCACCGCACGTGAAAAATTAATTCTGATTCTTTCTTCACAGATGCTGCCAGACCTGCTGAGCTTTTCCAGCAACTTCTGTTTTTATTCCTGATTTACAGCATCTATAGTTCTTTCAGTTTTTATTGTAAATATTAATACTGCTGCTACTGACCGTCGGTGGTGGAGGGAGGGGATGTTTGTGGATGTAGTGCCAATCAAGCGGCTGCTTTGTCCTGGATGGTTTCGAGCTTCTTGAGTGTTGCTGGAGCTGCCCCCATCCAGGCAAGTGGGGAGTATTCCATCACACTCCTGACTTGTGCCTTGTAGATGGTGGACAGGCTTTGGGGAGGCAGGAGGTGAGTTCCTCTGACCTGCTCTTGGAGCCACTGTGTTAATGTGGTGAGTCTAGTTGAGTTTCTGGTCAATGGTAAACCCCAGGATGTTGATAGTGGGGGATTCAGTGATGGTAACACCATTGAATGTCGAGGGACGGTGGTTAGATTGTCTATTATTGGAGATGGTCATAGCTTGGCATTTGTGTGGCATCTCTTGCTACTTGTCAGCCCAAGCCTGGATATTATCCAGATCTTGTTGCATGTGAACATGGACTGCTTCAGTATCTGAGGAGTCACGAATGGTGCTGAACATTGTGCAATCATCGATGAACATCTCCACTTCTGACCTTATGATGGAGGGAAGGTCATTGATGAAGCAACTAAAGATGGTTGGGCTGAGGACACTACCCTGAGGAACTCCTGCAGAGATGTCCTGGAGCTGAGATGATTGACCTCCCACAACCACGACCATCTTTTTATGTGTCAGGTATGACTCCAACCACCGGAGCATTTGCCCCCGATACCCATTGATTCCAGTTTTGCTAGGGCTCCTTGATGCCACATTCAGTTGAATCTGGCCTTGATGTCAATGTGGAATAGGGAAGGCAAATGGAATATTGGCCTTTATTTCAAGGGAATGAAGTATAAATGTCAGGAGATTTTGCTAAAACAACACAAAACACTAGTCAGAACACAGCTGGAATACTGTGAACAATTTTATGGGGAAAAGACAGGAAAGTGGTGTTGAGGATTATCAGATCAGCCATGATCTCATTGAATATTGGAGCAGACTCGATGGGCTGAATGGCCTACTTCTGCTGCTACATCTGATGGTCTCATATGCTGTACACTGCCAACTAATGTGGCCAGTGTGCAGGGAGCTTTACATTCAGTTTAAAAGTATAGTGAGGCTTTACTTTAGTTTAAAAGAGTAGAGGGAGCTTTACTCTGTATCTAACACTGTGCTGTTCCTGTTCTGAGAGT